AAAAAAATTAAAAACCATTTAAACAATTCCAAAAAAGTATAAACATTATCTGAACATAGGACTTTCAACAGATTCTTGAACATTAAAATTATTCTGAATGTCAAAAAAAACTATTTTCTATACATAAGCAATGCTTACAAGAGAACCAGGTCCTAACTTGCTAAAAGGAACACAACAAAATCACCCAGAAGCCGCCTCCCTCCCCTCCAGTATCCCTAGCAGAGCCCATTTGTGTCCCTCACCTCCCAGCATTGTGCGAATGCCCATCTGCAGGCTTAATGGGCTCATGCTCCATTTAGGTATTTTTGTTTTGTTTTGTTTTATTTTGTTTTTGTGCAGGGTCTCACTACACACCTCCTGATTTCTGCCTCCCTGGTGCTGGGATTACAGGCGCACGCCACTATGCCCAGACTCTCATGCCTCATTTAAAAGGCCAATGCATCCTGGGTGCTATGCTCCCCATAGATGGGCCCAGAGAAGCAAGATAGGATAAAACACTGAAATTTCCCTTATTATGCTGGATAGAAAAAATATAACTATGATATGCTATGTGAGAAAAGCCACTGCATATTTTTTTTCCTTTTTGAGAAAAAAAAGACTACATAGGGTTTCCGCACCTGGCCGTTGTGTACATATTAAATTTTTTATATAGTAGGCCAGGGATCTAACCTCTGGCCCCTGCACTTTGCTTTGTTTTTCAACATAGGGTCTCACTTTGTGGCCCAAACCATGGGGTATTCAGCCTCAAATTCATTAGGTAGCTTATACTGGCCTGAAACTCACAATTCTGTCTGACTTTGGAGTACTGAGATTAAAAGCCTATGCCACCACTCATGGCTTTTTATGGACATTTGTAAAGCCTCTATGGAGAACCAAGAACAGAACCAAGAGATTAGAGACAGGAAAAACCTTTCAGTATATATCTTTTTATATCTTTTAATATTATTTTGAATATTTTAATGGTGGGACCATTCTGTCACACTGACAGTATGGGACTCATTGCATTAGCATTTCTGGCTGTGCCAATTTGCATTCCATGACCTGGAGTTATGAGCTAAAACACACACAGAGCATGCAGCTCCCCAAAAGCAAAACCACCAAAACTCCCTACTCCAATTCCTTGGGCATAGAGGCTGGCCCTCAATGCTTATATTGAGGGCAACTAAAGATGCCACAACTAGAAGGCAGAAGCAAATGGGCAAGGAGGAATCCATACCATGTCTACTTTAATGAAGGTAGTTTATGTGTTTTGTGACAAAGAACCTTGTATAAGATATCACTTGGGAAAAAGTTTGACAGTCACTGTGCTTGACACATATCAGTAGGATAGCTATTAACTGGACTGTCCCTCCTCACTCTACAGTTGAGCTGATTTATTCTGCAAAGGAAACAAATTTTACTCTGCCACTCCCAGTCAACTCAGTCCAAATCCTCCCTGCTATGGACCTATTTATCCTTCTTAAGACCCTGCTGTCCAAGAGCACAACACTCTTTTTGTCCAGGTATCCGGTCTGACCCTTGTCCTTAAAACCAGGTTCCCAACACTACAGCTCACCAAGCCACCATCAATAAACTACACAATCTAGGATTATTCCTTGGCCCATGGGGACATCATTGGCACCTCTTTGGTACAGAATCTGGCTATGCAGCTCAGAGCTGTACGTGATCCTCCTGTCTCAGCCTCCCCAGTTCTGGCATTGTAGGCATGTGTCACCATGCCCAGTTTCTGAGGCCAGCAAGGCATGAGGTACTGAGGATCAAACCTGGGTCCTTGTGCTTGCCATGGAGCTATCTCTCCAGCCCCATGCACCTCTACTTTTAATCTCTCCTGCCTTGGTTTCCTCAACAGCACAATTCTGCTTTCACTTGTGCCCTTTCACTTTCCATATTTCCTTTCTTGAAGTGCCTGCATGTGAGATGAGAAAGATGGCAGGGCATAGATCAAACAGGACCCCCAATGCAATCACTCAAAGTCCCTATGACCACCAATAGAATGCACTATAATCACACTGGCTGTACCAAGAACGAGAACCATCAGTCTCCGAAAGACATGTGCACAGGGGGCAGGATGGAGTTGCTCACCCAAGTTCTCCCTTTGCCTATCAAGTGCTTTTCTGTACAAAGTAGCAGAGTTACCAAGAAACCATGCTCTTCAGTAAAAATTTTTAGTGGAGCCTAAGCTGGAGTCAGCAATAAACATTTATTTTTGTCCAAAAAGCTTTAAAAATTCAATATAACAAGGCCCAGAAAACCTTCCATGCTGACAGTGAGATATATATATATAGATATATATATTTATTATTATTATTTTTAATTTGGTACAAGGTCTCACTAGGAATATCAGAGGGTCTCTGAATATTAAATTTACTGT